TTAGTTTTGCTATTATTAAACAGAGCATTTTAATTATCTGGAAAACAATGAAATAATTTTCAATACCAATGGATATACATTGAAAGAACTATTGAAGATATGAAGTAGCCTAGCTATACTTGGAACCAAGAGGAAACGTAGCACAGAGCGTGATAGTAAATTGGGACATGTCTTCTAGTGCCATGAATCAAAGAGAAAAACAGTTTTAGTGTGAGAATGTAAAATCCCATCATTTTTAATGAACTGATACGAGGAGAAATGTACTGTATGTTCAGTATGCTGTTAAATTTTGAAAGTATATACTACACACAGCATTGCTAGTGAGGATCTCAGAGAGACACAGATATAAGCATGAAGTTTAAATTTGTGACATCTCTCCTATTGTAGCAATTGCTGCAATATCCATCACAATGTAGTTTCCCCCCTATTATTATGCTACAGTTGAATAATGTTAGTTTCTGAGGAATACGTCACAGCTGGTAAGCATGAGATACTTAAACGTGCAAAGCCTTTTGATCCAAGGAAAGTAAATATATTTAAAAGCACATATTATGGCTAAAACTGAGCTGGCAAAAAGAACAAATTACGTGTATGAATTGTCATCTTAATTGAAGAATTAAAACAGCCTGAAAAAAACTAAAATCACTATTATTAAGCAAGGTTTTTAGGATTGGAACAATTCTTTGATCACTATATTTGAAAAATTACTAAAAATGATGTTCTTTTGTAATCAATTTTTTCGTGTATTTTAGCTAGCAAACCCATATGTGAAGATTTCCACATGATGTTTAAATAAGTATCATCACTCACCAGTTAAAACCAACTGAGATTATCAGAGAGATGTTATGGGAAAATAGATCCCAAACTAAACCTGTGCAGTGGCAGACACACAGCTCTATGAATGCACAGCAGTTCAAACAACAAGTGAAGCTTGTTGGAAAGGAATTTACAGGCCAAGCACTCTCAAGCAATCTTTTTCTACATCATCAGATTTCCTCAGTAGATGTGTTGTACAGGAGCTCTCAGTGTAGTGGATCACAGAGAGAAAACACTCTTCCCCTTTGCTCCTACCTGGTAAATCATTGATAATATATGAAGGAATATTTTTAAACACTGATTCTGCTCCAGGCTGCCAGTTGCCATTGTGCATTCATAAGTAGCTTCCTTTTAAGCCTTTTCCAAACAAATCAAGGGCTAGAAGTATTAAACAAATAAACAATCCATAGCAAATATGAAATTTAGAGTTTTAATGAAATATATGGACCATAGTATGCCATCAGTTTTTCAACAGATTCACAATGAGGGATTTTGCTTAAAAAGTGATGCCATGATATGGCCCTTTGGTATTTAACTGACTTAAAAAAAATTCAATATCTATACTTTTTTCTCCATTAAAAAAAAAACAGTACAGATCTTAGCTTGCAGTAATACAGGAGTGAAACATGTTGGCTCAAGCACTTATACTGACTGTTTACATGTAATTAGTCCTTGTTGTATTTTGAATATAAATATATCCAAAGTATGTCGTGTGCATTTCAGAAGAGAGAGACTTGGTTTATCAAAATACTATCTGAAATTCCTACCCTTGAAAAGATATATCTGATTTAAGCAGACTTATTCAGGTGGGCTTCATTACACTATTATTTATTTACATATATAGGATGCCATTTTTAGCCCTTTCTGAAAATGGAAAGTTAATAAATATTTGTAATAATTAAATTTTTGGAACCGAGCAGAAAGCCTATTGTGGCAAATGACCACCCACACCACTTGATGTGACATAACTCAGCTGTTTTTAAAGTAAGATAGCCCATTAAAAACTAAACACGGTGTACTGAAGTTGCACTTTCATTATGTGACCTTACAGTATCCTGATTTATCTCCAGAATCCTTTTAAAAATAGAATTGCCCAATAGCTTGATAAATCAAGTTCATTTTGAAGGAAATTCAATATGCGAATGTTTCAGCTGTGCTCTTTTACAAATGGTCTGCCTTGTCAGTTTGAAAAACTGAAAATCAACAAAGGAACAGTGTAAGTATACTTGACCTTATTCCCTAATGTCTATCAAGAATTCCATGGTTGGTCGATTTTAAATTTGTGAAACTGACACTCAAAAATGTATAGAGCATCTTCAGTCCAGATCCCATAACTGCTGACTATACTCCAGCCACAGCCTTGGAATCTCCGCACTTGCCAACTTACACAGCACTTACAAAGCTAGTTTAAATACTCCATCAATCTATGTCCATTCCTTCCTTAGAGTAATCCTATTTAGATTATCTTTTAACCCTATGCTTGCATTATGGGAAAAGTGCCATTATTAATCTAATAAAGGAAACATACATTTTAAGATGAGACAAAGAAATGTAGCCTATCACCTCTGATAGCGTCCTTCCTCAACCACAGTGGCAGGGGAGTCAACAATCCTGAATATAATTATGGGGGGAGGGGGAGGACAACATACATTTAACTCCCAAACAACATTAGTCTAATTTATTGGCAATGAATCATAGAAAAGTGTCATTTTGATGTTGGCTATCTGTGTTAAAAATGTCCTTCTGGTGCATATGCTATGCACTGGTATTTGCTGTACACGAGCAGTTTATACAGGCCCCTAGTGGTTTAGCACACACAGCACCAGATGAAGGGGGATTCCTACTCTTTAGCTTGGCTAGTTTTAGTCTCTGTATTATTCCGGTTTAGAAATGAAGGGTGACCTTAAAATTAAAGCTGCATTACTGATTAAATTTAAAATACTAAACAATTCATTTCTAAATACAACCCCAGAGCTGTTTTCACAAACCTCCTCAGAAAATTAAATGCTGTATGTTTTACTATTTCCCATTCAGTGCACTGGCACAACTAATATTTGAGTTACATAACAGCCACAACAGAATGTTTAATTTATACCACTTTTTATTATTCATTAAAAAGTAATATGACTGCTAATACTAAAAGCAGATTTTAAAACACAGACCCTGACATCTAGAAGCTCAGAGATGCAGTTTCCCTTTTGAAACGCCATTCCTGACAGCTTGGCATAGCACACATAAACCACAATGAATTTCTCAGTGCCTTCTTAGAGTAGAAGTCTACTACTTAGCCAAAGCTCTCAGTACTTAAAGTGGATATACACAAGCTATACATCATTTCAGCATTGAGAGAAACCTAAATATATTCCACCGTACCACCACAAGTGACAACTAAAATTGGAAAGCTACTCCTGTAAAAAGTATCCAATTAAATCCCTCTCCATGTCTGTGTAAAAGCTACACCACCTAGTTCTTTGAAAATCCCAGGCCGACACATTATAGCTTTTAGCTATTTTAACTGGACAAAATTTGACAGCTGAATTTATGAAACTGACCAGTTTGTCAATTTCACACTTCAAAAAATACAATAATAGCTGATCTCATGAGAGTGAATTTAAGGAAACTGTCACAAAATTGCTAGCTATGTGAGATGCAAGTACATACAATTATTTTGGGGGACAAGGGGGAATTTTATTTTGTTCAGAGCTGCTCTGTTCAATAACAATGAACAATAAAGCTTTGTTCTTTCCCAACCCACTAAAAACTATGTAATACAATATATTCTAAACCACATTTCCATAAAGAATAGAAAGTAGTAAATATTATAAACCTTTTATCAGACACCAAAGAACACAAAATATCTTAGAGCTGTGTTTCTTCATCTCTGCATCAAGATTCAAAGTAAAAGTCTTGATGTTACAGAAGTTGCCTGTGTTTGTGCAGAAGGTAGGGAGAAGGCAATTGGCAAAAGGGTCACAAGATAGAATTCACATAGAAAGTTGAGACTAAGTTTAAATACTCAGGAGAATAGAAACATAAAATAAACATATCCACCCCCTGTAATTAGGAAATTCCAAAGCAAATCAGTATCTAAGGTCTCACATGAAATGTCGCACAGTCTCCAGTGGATATTGAATGAACAGAAAAACATAAAACCTTTGCTGCTCTGTGGCAAGGTGAACAAAATGGTCCTCTTTATATATGTAAAAGCTTCAATTTTAAATTGTGTGTATGTATGGGGTAAAGGTGAGAAGAAATAGAAAGGTGTGTATGTGGTGGTACGGTGTACAAAGGCCAGGCAGGAGAATGTATACTCATCAGACAACAGTCTCAAATAACAACGAGAAACAGAAATGTGCTTATTGAGAGGTGTCTGGAAAAGGAAAAGTGATGATGGCTTGGGAGGGGGTGACAGTTTTAAGGAAAAAATATCCCCGCCCCAAAATGTAGCACTTAGAACTGAATAAAGAAAACAGATCTTGTATTTATAAGTCAAAGTAGGCTACATTAAAAGTGGGGAAAGTCCCTGCTTACAAAAAAATATGAATTTTAAGAGGGAGCTGGTAAAATAAGTTTTCTGCACAAATGTGAGAGTTCCATTATAACCCTACAGAAAGCTGCACTGTTTCGGTTTCTTTACAGTGGTTTCAAAAAAGGACCTTTTTAAAACAAAACAAAAAAACTTCTTATCATCATGCACAATCATATGCAATTGGTATAGGGGAAAAGAGAGAACTGATCTGATTCCAGTGTGTAAAAGGTCTCCAAACAATTCCTCCCACACCGTGAATGGCAGCCACTTTCCCTTTGATTGCTGCTAGTTCCCCTTCTCCCCACTAGTTCAAATAAAAAAATGCTATCATTAATACCAACTCACCCCTCTTTACAATACACGAAACATGAATTCCCCCCCCCCCCCCCCACTTACAGTAGGAATTCAGAGGAAACCTCTCCTCTGGTCACTAGTCCACCCCCCCCCCCCCCCCCAACTCTCTTCATGTCCTTTCTCAGCCGTGGTTCGAGATGAAAACCCAGAAGAAAGCAGAGGCGAGGGGTCTGGCTAGGGGCAGCCTGTTTAACGCCAAGGGGGGAGTGCTGAGTGTGGTGCACATGTGTGCAATGCTCCCCACACACGCACAGATGGAGCGGCAGAGGGGGAAGCCATGGGGCAGCGGCGGGGGAATTACCTGGTCATGCTGGCTCCCCCAGTCCCAGCAGCAGCCACCGCCGCCGCCTGCCCGCCCGCCGCCACCGGCGCTTCCCTCCGCCGCCGCCACCTCCTCTCGCTGGGCTCCGGGGCGGCCAATTTAATCCAAGCCAAGCAGCAGGAGCCCGCGGGTCGTTGCTGTCTGGCGCTGGTGCGTGGCTCTCACAGTCCAACGCCGGCAAGTGGGGGAGAGTCGGCGGGAGTCCGGAGATCCAGCAGCCAGGGGCAGCCCGCTCCCCCAGCCGCTCTCTTCCCGGCTCCGTCCTCCGCCTGCTTCTGCCGGCTGCGGCTGCCGCTGCTCCCGGGCGCTCGCTCTGGTCCCAAGCTTCTGCTCCGCTTCCTCCGCCTCCTCCTCTCTTCCCCCCGCTTCGCCTTGTAGCAGAGTCTGTGGCTACAAATAGCTGGATCGCCCACCCGCCTCCCCCCCTCTGCTCGCCCCACCGCTCCAAACAAAAGTGCAGTGCACACAGACGGGAGGCAAAAGGCGATTCCCTTTCTCGGGGCTGGGGGGCAAAGACAGGGGGAAACAGCCACTAGCAGGAACAGTGCCCCTGCTCGGACTCCCCTGGGAGTAAGGGGGGGGGTGAGGAGGAGTAAAGTGGTGGAAGTGCCTCCCTCTCGCTTTGTTTTGCTGGGGGTTTTTTATTATTATTTTTAAATCCTCTCAGGCTGCGTGGATCACAGGATCCGTATGGCCCCAAGTGCTGGGGAGAGCTTGTTGCAGAGCGGTGCGGGAGCGGAGAAGGTATTGAGCGAGGGAGAAGCACTGAGCCAGCAGTGTCTCCCTGGACCACTGACTGACTGAGGACATAGGAAACAAGAGAGAGAGACACACGGGGGGCGGGGGGTGAGATGGGGGGAAGGAGGAGGGGGAAGACGGTGACGTCACTCCCAGGGATCCAGCTAGCTGTACCAGTCCAGCCGAGGGAAGATCTTGTCTTGTGTGTACACACACACACGTTTCCAGCACTGTGTAAAGGGTGTGCGTGTCAGAGGGATGCACACACTGAAACACAGAACCCTGAGATGATGGGCATCTGAAATACGCCCCCCTCTGTCTCCTTCCCCCCTTCACATTCTCTCTCTCTCTCTCTCACACACACACCACTAAATAGACTACCTCCCTGTGTGTGTGTGATAACTGTCCCTCTCCAAAAACTTTCTAAATCCAGTCTATTTCAGTGGAATTTAAAGGGTTAACTTTTGTTCAAATTCACACCCCTGTACAATCCAATGAAATCAATGGAGTTGCAAGTACTACAACTCAGGCAGAATTTGTCCCTGAAGGCATATTATCATCTTTATCAAACATTTGTATATACTTCCATAGGTTTACATGGCACTTTTATTTTCTCTGTAAAGACACAGGGCCAAAGTCCACGTTCATTTACAGTGCATGCTACTTCAGTGAAATCAGGGGAGTTGAATGTAAGTCACTGTAAAGTTTGGCTTAAAGTTTTTTCTTCCTGGAGGCCTCAGTCATTTGGAGAGGAAGTTCTTCCTTACCTCACAGGGGCATTGTGAGGATAAATATATTAAAGACTGGGAGGCACTCACATACTATGGTGATGGGAGCCATGTAATTGCCTCAGATAGATAGGTCCTGCAAACATTTATGCTCATGAGTTCTCCCATTGAGTTATTATACTGAGATTGTGTTATTATATTTAGTTTTGTTTTATATTATTTGATTTTACTTTGGAAATGTAGTGCTGCCCAGCTTTAAGGCTACTTTGTTCCTCCCCAACTCCTGTCCTCTTGTTGACATACTTCCAATTGTGCCATGCAAAATGATCCCAAGATCAGTTTTATACTTAAAGGAGCACTGCATCTTCCAAAATGCAAAAGATTTTAATAATTGCACTATGAGTATGGAAAGGCATCAATATATGGAATGTGGCATGCCTGACCATTTTTCATCCTGTTGAATGAATTTGAGACTATTTTTGTTGAACAATAAAAAGTTGAGTGGATTTTTATATATATATATATATATATACACACACACACACACATATATATATATAGTTACGGAATGCAAACAAAAATTAAAACCCCATCACAACCCAGCCCCCATTGACCCCAAGACTCTATGCTTGCTTTGAAATAACTAAATAGATTAGGGTGATCAGATAGCAAGTATGAAAAATTGGGACAGAGTGTGGGGGGTAATAGACGCCTACATAAGAAAAAGCCTCAAATATCAGGACTGTCCCTATAAAATCAGGACATCTGGTCACCCTAAAATAGATATGCCAGGTTTTAATATAATGATCCAGTGTCCTGACAGTTTTCACCATTTGCCTCAGTACTCTTCATGCTAAGATCCTAGAATGACACAGAAGAATTGGTCAGTAATCCCACATCCCCTACAAATTCTGACACCACCACCACAATTTAGATCTGAGTTTTGAGACTATATTTAACTTTTTCCACACAATTTGCAGTTATAATCATCTTGATACAGCTCCTCCCTCTGTTCTTCTTGTCAGCACTGTGGTATGAATAAGAAATAAATCTGCTTCCTTCTATATAAACCACTAAAGCCAGGCCTACCTAGTGAATTTAATTTCTCAGATTTCTGATTTATGCAATAATGCTGGATGTATATGTAAAGAGCAGAGGGAGAAATGATGCTGAGTGCAGTGAAACAGTATGAAAAACTCTGTGTCTACTGTTGCCCAAGGATGAATCAGCACCTGCTTTGTTATCATCAGCAACAATAATGATTGCAGAAATATACATACATATATGTGTGTGTATATATTTCTGCTGTAATGTTAAACCTGTTGTTTCTATTTCATTGATATATTATTGCTCCCAAAAGTTTTAGCTTTCAGGATGCATAACTCAAAATATCACAAGTTAACACAATGTGGGAATAATATTCTTTTACAAAATATATTAAGAAGTTCAAGTACAATGTTCTACTAGTTTTTGTTTGTGCAGTTTATTGCCAAGATTGTGATAATACATAACTGTAATGCTAGCATAATACTGAATTGGAAGAACATTTCAAAAATATATTAACTTTGAAATATTTCTTATAAAAATATGGAACAAACTGAAAGTGCTGTACTACCAGGTACAAAGATACTGAATTAAGTTAAGTACTCAGGATATGAATCTATACACAAACTTTTTAGTGTGGGGCATATCTCTTGCTTCTGTTTGGATCGTTAAAAATATCTATACACATATATAAACACACATACGCTTCTTCCATTGTTAAAAAATAAGGGTTTAAATTCTGCTCACCTAAACCACACAAGTAGTCCCATTGCCTTCACTGACATCTCACATGAGTAAGGGGGGAGAGATAGAGAGCTTTCCTCTTGGCTGCCACGATTTAGGGCCTGATTCTACATTTTTTACTCAGGACAAAACTCCCACTGACTTCTGCTAGAGTTTTGCCTGAGTAAGACATGCAGGACAAGTCCTTAATGTTTTCATGTTGCAGTCTCATGCAGTTCAAACATTAAATAGTACTGTATTATATTAGAGATTAATACTACACACTGTTATTTTCCCCTTGGCTCTTGTGTCTGAGACTGTGGCATGCAATGGTGACAAATAGGCATCCCCACTAAACTCTTTAGGACAGTGGGATGTTCCGTTAACAGTTGGAACCATCTCAATCAAAGTGGAACACTGGGTCACTTCAGGAGAAGAGCAAAGGGGGGCACAAAGGATACTCTGTAATTACCTTCCCCATTTTTTGTTGCAGGCATTATGATAGCCGTATATTACAATTATTTATAATTACTATACGACAAGCTGTCAGGTGAAATCTAACAGGTGATTTGTCACAAAGCTCCATTAATGTATACATTAGGCATTGGATTACCAAATGATTAGGGAACGTATTTCTGAGTTGCTGCACCGATACTTGAAAAATTCTCATTTATAAGCCACAAGTCTTTGTGATCTCCCAGTGAATATTAAAGATAATAAAATACTACTAAACAAGTAAATACATGAGTTGTCAGTAAACAAAAAAATACATTCAACACACACACCTTGGATATGCATATCTTTTAAGTGCTAATTGGGTATCTCAGCAGACTTAGTGGGTTTATCAAACTTCCATGAGTCCTATACATCTTTCAACTGATAAATCTTTGGTAGTTAAAGACAGAGGTATCTAGAGAAGAATATGATTCCAAGTACAGTTTTTTTTATTATCATTATTTTTGCCTGGTTCACTATTTTTATTTTAGCTCTTTCTGCTAAAGAAATAAAAAAAATTGAAAAGAGTAAGAAGTCTACAGGAAACTAGTAATTAATCACACGATACATGAAAATCTACAGGGACTTGAGGCTGATGAAGCAAGATCAGTTTTATTAGACTGCACTAGAATATGTGCCACAATCTGGAAATAAACAAGAGTATATGCAATGAAAGCTGTAAATAAGATTTTTGGACAGCAGAGATAGCTTTGTCTTCTACTACTGGAGAATGTCAGAAGTAATGAAAACTCTGCTGAACAATTTTAAAAAATAATATATTTGGAGTGGAAAATGCAATTGGGGGCGGGGTTCTAGTTCTATTTAGATTTTTTTTTGCAGCAGGTCAATGGTGAGTTTGGCTTTAAATTCAGAAAAGGTGCTACCACATACAAAAGATGATTTCACCTCTTGAGGTAGGAATGTAAATCCTGTGCTTGTAGGAGAGATTGCACCCCCAAATTACAATGACAGATGACAACAGAAGAGAGTATGGGCAGAACATCATAAATCATTTCTGAGTTCAACTAAAGTGAAGATATGCTTCCCAAAAAGAAAAAGGGGCATACCTCCAACTTCTTTTTTTTTTTAAACTACAAGCTGGTTTCCTTTTTTCCAGTCATCAAAATAAGTATGGCATACCAACATATTTATTATTATCATCTATTGTCTGTAGTATATTAGTGCCTTGGAACCCAACGAAAGGACCAAGGTCCCACTGTGCAAGGTACTATCCATGCATAGAACAAAGACAGTCCCAGCCCCAAAGAATTCACAGTCTCATACCACTACCCCATTCAAGCTCTGAAAATCAACAACTGAATTAATGTACTTTAAAATTTAGAAAACAGAAAAAGAAATGGGTGAGTATATATAAATATAAGACTACATCATTACTAGGACTTTACTGTCCTTTGTCTGAGTTCAGATGTCTAAATCTTATAGAACTAGACAAGATAGTTTATTTTTATATAGTTTCTTTTATATAAAGTCTCATAAAGCACTTTACAGAAAGTCTAATCATACCATGAACTAA